ATATATATATATATATATATATATATATATATATATGTATATATGTATATGTATTGGCATATTTGGCATTCCGTTGTTTAGAGCGCGTATGGCGTGTGTTGATGTTCAATCTAGAAATCTAGAAAGTTCCTCTTGTCCGCACGTCTCAGCTGTTCTGGAAGTATGTTCTTTCTGGAACGTATAGAGTTCGAGCAATCATAAATCGCCTTGCAATCCGAGTTTTGATCTGTCGATTAATTCATTCGACGTGATGTAATTGGATATTTAAACAAAGCTACTCCGCAAAGATTACGCCGAATCCAATCACCTGCTATGCACGCGCGCGCGCGAGTGTGTGTGTGCATGCGTGTGATTAAGGTAACAGATTTAGGCATTGATAGTGAAAAGGTAACGCATTACATCTGATAAAACATGATAGGCTTATGGCATCAAATGGAAAAAAGTTATATATCTATATATATCTATATATATATATATATTATATAATGATTTATCGCTCAATCTACAAGAAGCAATTTTATGTGGATGGAGAAATGAAGTACACTGCTCATTTAACTGTTAACGTGCCCACAAATATGCAATGTCATTTTACTCATTATTTAGATGAGAATAATGAAAATCTCCAGTCGCAAATCGTCAAGTAACAATAATATTAACCACCTACCTCCATATCAATGAGCATGACTGGATGCGGACAGCCAAAATAAGCAATTAGGCTCATTATAGACATTTATTGAGTGTGGCGTTGATGCTGTGTTACCACGGCAACGTGATCTATGGACGTAGCGAAACACATATACACACGAACGAGCGCACACGTGCGCATACAAACGCACACACGCCCACGCACGCACGCACAAGACACGCGCGCACAATCTCAGAGGGTGGGATGCAATCGCAATATATTTGGAAGTGCGCGCGCGTGTCAATCACATAACTTGCTATATTAGTTAAATATCAGGTCTGATCTTTGCAGGATATATTATTTAACGTGATTTTTTCCTTTCTTTTAAGCATTTCCAATTCTGATTGTATAGTTATATAACTTTACGGCGTTTATTTTATGTTGAAACTATAATATAATGGCGCACAAGAAAATTCCATATAGGCTCTCGTAACACAACTCAATTACTTATAATTTAGATGCGAATACAATTTCATTTCAATTGCTCAACCAAACGTTAATACTTAACGCGCTATGTTTCGTGAATTTATTTCTATTTCGTATATTTTTACGATATCGTATGAAAGCATTACGTAATCGTTTAATATGAGTTGCTAATTAAATTTGAATAATTAATTAATATAATTTAATTGAGTCATCATTCGTTGCAGATAATAGCTTTCTTTTGGCGAATGCACAAATCGTCGACTATCCAATCGTCTTCTGCAATGAAGGATTCAACAAACTCAGCGGATACACCCGGGCCGAGGTTATGCAGAAGGGATGCACGTGTTCTTTCATGCAGGTACATGCGTGCAAAACCGCTGCGCTGTTATATTCCCTGAGCTGAAAAAAAACGTATAATTGGCGCATGCCATGTCACGCACCAGAAACCGATGTAGCCCTTTAATAAGCCGTGATGCCCGCTGAGCGGTGCTGTCACCTAGCGTAAATATTGTTTTTCGCCACTGACGACCGCTCCGATGTGCGACAAAAGGTTTGTGCCATCTCACACAGGGAGAGTACGTCGCATCCGGTAAAACGTGGTAATAGTAAAAATATCAAGAATGCGATAAAGAACCTGCGCTATTACCACGAGATCCCTTGACGAAGCCCATATAATAATGCCCCCGAAAAATGTCACTGCGATTCGTTTACTTGCCGAGGGCCCGTACATTGTCCTGTAGCTTCTAGACCATATCTCTCTGGATCGTGATTATGCTTAAGAAAAACTAACCGGAGCAAAATTGATCAAATGTTTAAGTCAACCTTTGGGTTTATGTTTATTGGGTTACGCATAACAGACCATAGATAAACCAAGACAAGTAAATTACTTTCAGCGTGTCATAGTTCTATACCCTAAGACAATTTACTCCTGATTTTTCACTAATAAAACCCATTATATATAGATCAGTTGTTATATATCGACCTAGCCTTCAATACGAAAGAATTCACTTTCTCACTCCATGTTTACTGTGTCTGACTTAATGGCTAATCGGTGAATCATTTTAAGCATTGCCCCTTCCAAACTATAGCTGAACTAATCGGTCTTATCACAACTGCCCAAAAGTAAATTAATGTCATTTATATATAAATATTAAAGGGACTACGTCACGAATTTTCTATGGTAAAATTTGTAAAAAAAAAATTGCCATTTTTTTACATTAAAAGTAAGAACTAACGTTACTAAATAAATCCTCAAACTCTCACCTGATAAAAATGTTTTTACGTTGGTTAAATTTGCAAAAATCTAGACGATTTGGTAATTTCTGTTGTCTAACACTATTCCCCCAGTACTGTTCAGATACTGGCGTCTCTCTGTTTTTTTACCGGCAA